CCTCACTGTGTAGTTTTCAACTCCAACAGTGAATATTTTGTTAATGGGAAGCAATACATAAACATTTAGCTTAGCGTAGCAGTTTGGATCACGGATCCCCTTGCTCCTTATCAATTATGCATGGCAGAAACTGAGTAGGAAAGGCTCACCATCAGAACTAATCTTTTGACGATCCTCAAATACTGGTGGTCGTGCATCATGATGCTGTTAAACATTAGAGGCTGGTGGGAACCGTCTTGATGGCAAGGGCTGATACGAATATGAAATGTTCCCCCCATATGCACAGCCAGAGAAGACTGGGAATATATATATTTATATATAGGTTATACATATATATATGGCCATATATTCTGGCAGAGAAGCAGAAAACAAGGGGAGGCATTTATTTCAGTTGTGGCAGAGACAGAGTGTGTCCAAGGAGAATGAAGGCATTCTCAGTCCTGTGCTAACTGTAGAACCCAAGAGTGCACACCGAACACATTTGCCTCTTTTGTGCACCATTATTGGGACACGCCTTGGTTCAACTGCTTTGAAAACGTTCATCATTGTGGGTCAGTTGCCAAATGTGGTGCCCCTTTTTACTGCAAAATTTGAGACTTGCCATCAGCATGAAACACGCAAAGCTTTGATCCTGTCCCTGATTCCATAAAGTCTTGTTTTTTCCCCACAAGCCACAGTTGATTGGAGTGTCTGCCTTTGGTGGACGTTTGGGTCCAAGGAGAAGTCCGACCGTCTGAAAAACTGATCACAAAAAGCTTCAATGGGTTTCTGCCTGTTTCTTTGTCTCCTTCCTTCCTGCCAGCTATGCTCTTGTTTAAAACAAAATCACCCCCTTTAATTTAGTAGAGAAAGGCTTCTTTCATGGAAAGCGATTCTTTGCTCCCAGAGTTCATCCGTGGCACCTCAGTGAGATTCGCTCTTCTCTGCTCTGAAGCACTTTGTTGCCAAGAGACCGAGGATGGCTTTTTCTCGAGAGCTCATCACAGGAGAAAGCTTTGAGTTCCTTTTTTAAAATTTCCTGGGGCTGCCACACTATAAAACAAATCTCGCAGTCATTTGATTAGGAAGGCCACTAATGGGCTAACGCGAGCCACGCATCGCTAGGTCAGGCCTGCTTCGGAGGTAAGTGGAAATGCAGCCGGGAGAAGGCTGTGGAGGACAAAATAGGCAAGGAAACCCTTTGCATGTTTTTATTGGCCTGATGCTGGGTTTAAAAAAAGGGCTCGACTGCCTTACAAGGGAGGCACACCTCTCGTGCGTATTTCGAACTAAGCCAGTTTTCTCCTAAATCCATGAAGTGGCTTAAAAACTGAGAAGCAAATGATACTCAAGAGGCAGTTCCTGCTGCTTTATCTGTAGCTGCTCTGACTGTCATCTAAGATAACAAAACCCAGATTTTACACACACACACGCACACACACGCTCCTTATTACATGCATGAGTTGCTTCCCACTGGCAAAGACTTCTCAAAGTTACAAACCACAGAAAACATACAAAAAAATAAGAGTGTGTTTGTTTTGTTTCGTTTCTGCCCATATAGCAGTGGTTCCCAACCGTGGGTCCCCAGATGGTCTTGGACTCCAACGCCTGGAAATCTTGGCCAGCAGAGCCAGTGGTGAAGGCTTCTGGGAGTTGTAGTCCAAGAACCTCTGGGGACCCCAGGTTGGGAATCAATACAGTGCAGAGACCAAAGGCTTCTTATCAAATGGTTTAGAAACAGATAATGGCTCAAAACGCCATGTAAGGATGTTGACACTTAGTTAAACATAATATAAACAGCTGTGAGTTTACAACATTTGAAGCAATTTAAACATCTGCCACTAAAAAAAAAAGAACAGTAAAATTGTTGTTTAGTCATTAAGTTGTGTCCGACTCTTCGTGACCCCATGGACCAGAGCACGCCAGGCCCTCCTGTCTTCCACTGCCTCCCGGAGTCAGGCCAAATTCATGTGGGTCACTTCAGTGGCACTGTCCAGCCATCTCGTCCTCTGTCGTCCCCTTCTCCTCTTGCCCTCGCACTTTCCCAACATCAGGATCTTTTCCAGGGAGTTTTCTCTTCTCATGAGATGGCCAAAGGATTGGAGCCTCAGCTTCAGGACAGTAAAATATCCACCCCTTAAAAGCCACTTCGCCAAGCAGCCTGTTCAGCAATCCAGGTTCTGCCTGAAAAGGAAGGAATTTGCCCATTAATAATGGAAGCTGGCCTGCCCTTGCTTTCCTTGACGGAGAGTTCCACAGAAATACAAATATATATACAGTAATCCATATTCCTTATGGCAAGGTCCGCTTGCTTTACAACCTATAAAAACATGGTTTCCAACAACAGAAATGGGCGAAAGGAACCTTCTGTTGCCAACATGGCGCCAGCCCAACCAGAGATCAGGTTAAAGAAATCTGGGCTGGGACGAGGCTGGATTCCCTTTCTCCTAATGGGAGCCTTGCAGACAGGCAAGCTTCAAGATGGACAGAGAGTTGAGGGCTCTGGAGGCCGGTGCAGAAGAGCTTCTGGCTGATCATCTCATAGTCCCTGTCTCCTCTTGAACCAGGGCACCCACATCCATGAAACGTACCTCACTCAAGAAGACCAGTGGCTACACTTCTCAAGCTGCCTCTGCGAATGTTTTACAAGACACGGCACAAGATCGATACAAGGATGAAACCAATTGTGTAGTTGGGTTAGCTAGAGTTTCTCCGAGTTGTTGTTTAGTTCAATTAAGAACCAAATAAATCAGTGTTATTTGGGAATCCGATCATTGGTCTCGGGAGCTCCTTTCAGATTTCAGAGAGCCGTTTCTTCCTGGGGGGGGGAAAAACCTAGGAGAGCTCCAGGAACCATTAACATGCACATCATGAGGCCCAGTCAACGCTAAGCAAACTTTCCCTGGTCATTTAACATATTTCGACTGCATTCCTCAGCTGACAAGGTTTCCAGAACAGTTTGCGCTAAAACCGATTAATTTTTTTTTTATGTGAAAGAGCGTCATTGTTCAAGTACCTTGCTTTTCTGAGCTGTTTTATGGCTTTGATAAGTTAAAAATCAGCAATTTGACTTGTGGTCTGAAGTGAACAAATGGTCAGGGGCACTGTTTCGAATTCAGCTTGATATGTTCCATATGACTGGTCCCAGTTAATAAGTCTTTCTGGTGCTATTTCCCCAAGAAGCCTTCAAAGTAAGGCTCCTTGCCGTCATCTTAACTAGAAAGGCCTATAGCATTTTCAGTCATATTATATTAATAAGGTATTTATTGGTGAGAAGATAATGGCTTTGAAACTGGTTAAAATGAGCCTTATGAACTGAAGTCAGCTTGAGGGAGCTGGTTCTTCGTTCCTGTCAGCCTAAAACACCTCCCCAGGTGGTGGTTGTAAGAAGAAAAGGAAGGAACATCTCTCCTCTCAGTGTTCTTGAAGCTACATTGGCACATACCGGTTCCTCGCATTAACTGTCACAAAATGTGAAGGCTGCTGCTGACCTTTTTTTAATTTTTGAAGAATGTGAAATGCACATACAAAAAAATACAAAACAAACACATAAGGAAACTCAAGACCCACCTGCACAAAAGTTCCCCACTCCAACGGGACCCTATGAAGTCGGGCAGCATTTGCTGTACTGTCGCCACGTCTTGCCTTAAGCGGGTGGTCTCTGTTGTCATCTGCATCTCTCACGATTTTATGTGTCGGGCGGTGGTGGAGGTGAGCCGGGGCCCTGCTTTTGTTGATTCCGGGGTGTGTGCGGTTCCTTGAGAAGCGGTTTCTGTGCTGTTACAGCTTTGTCCATAACTGCAAAGAAGTGAGCCAACCCTCATAGGCTGTGCCTCCCCTATGCTTTTGACCATTTCTTGGTCATATGAAGAATGTCCTACAGAGGAAGGGCAGGATCTGTTCTTGATCATCCCAGAATGCAGGATATGCAACAATGGGCTCAAGTTACAGGAAGCCAGATTTTAGTTGAACATCAGGAAAAACTTCCTAAATGTTAGAGCAGTCCGACGGCGGAACCAGTTACCTCGGGAGTTGGTGAGGGCTCCAACACTGGAGGCATTCAAGAAAAACTTGATATGGCAGATATGCTTTGATGGTATTCCTGCCTTGAGGGGTTGGACTCGATGGCCTTACAGGCCCCTTCCAACTCCTTGCTTCTATGACCACGGAAAGACTACCGATTCTTCTGTGCAGGCCAGGGCTGACCTGAATAGGGAGTGGAAGGGTCAAGGTCTCAGGTAATGCAAAAGCTGAACTTGAAAACATTACTTTTTTTGGATGACATCTTCCAGAGTCCCCAGGGGACATGCTAGCTTGGGACTCTGCAGTTTGTAGTCCAAAACAGTCACATTTCAAACCTCCATGGCCTCTCAAGGCTAATGATATGCTCCTTGGAAGTAAACCTCCTTTTTCTGTGGCATGTATTCATGAATTTTGTCCTCACTGGTGTTTATACCCCACTCTAGGGATCTCACCAGCACCTTGGCAGCCACCGGGCCTCACCCACGGTTTTTGGAACCTCCTCCATCCTTCACCACCACCCAGTCCTCTGAAAGTTCGCTCAGCCCAGATTCTGGTGCTCCAGACCGAAGGTAGGTGAAGACAAAGATATTTCAGTCTCACCCTGTGAGTCAACAAGATAGAGGATGAGCTGTTTGCAAAACTTTACCTGTAAGGTATGCCTGGAGGCTGTGCAGTCTAATTCCTCCCTGTTTTTGTAATGGGACATAATTAATCCTGCTCTGTATACCATATTTGATTTGCTATGACATAATCATGCCACATGTCCCTTTACTGGAAGAAACACAAGATTTAAATGCATGATTAATTAAATAATATTCAGTGTTCAATATTTTCATTTTGTAACCAGCCTCGAGATTTTTTAAATGTTCTTGGATAAATAGTATAGAAAGAAAGCCTCTTCACAAGAGCAGTCACACGAGTCTAGACCAGGAGAAGGTCAAAGACAAAACGGTGATGTCTGGTTTACTGGAGAATCATCGTTTGCAGGTGATATTCTGTTTCATTAGACAGGTGAGGTGGTCTGTACAGTCATGCAGGTTGAGAACTGGGGTGTCATTAAAGCTATACCCAAGCCTTCAAGAGTGTGTGACCAACCAGGGGAAATCTGCCCCATCAATCCTGCATAATGGTTTGTCCTGTCATGCGACACTGGGAAGATACAGTTCAGTGCTGGCAGGCTTCGTTGGGCTGGGTAGGTCATCGGTGGTGCAGAGTGGAGATGAAAGGTGAAAGGGTTGACTCAATGGGAGCCCCACTTGATATCCCCTCCTCTCTCCTCCCCTGTGTACACACCTCTTGAGATCTGGAGTGCTGAGAGCAGGGATTTAGCTGAGCTTCCGTGATATCACAGCATTTGCTCTAAAGGCCGAGGCTAAAAGGGTGGTCACGGAATGCTAAGGAGGAGTCCAACTTCTGTGAGGGGAATAAAATCTGGATATTTTGCTGGGCAGGAGTGGAATCTTTTGGACAGGAAGTGCTGTGCGTTTTATGAGAAGGATGAGGCCACTCTCTCATATTGCTTCCAGTAATCGGTATTCAGTGACTTGTTCTCTCTGAAGAGGGAGCTCATTCTTCTGTGGTCCTCTCCTCTGGAAATGGTTGACCATCTGCCTCTGGTTCTCCTGGGTTGAAGCGGGAGGGTTGGGGGCTTGGCCCAGCCTTTTCTGCATGCCTCTGTTAAGCCTTAACCTCTTTTCATTTTAAATTCCATGCTTCCATCATTGGGGATCAAAGAACGGGTAAAATAAAAAGTCTGTCTTGGTAAGTGTGTCTAAAAAGAAACATGTGCTTAGATGTTGAGCTAGTGAATAAAAGTTTCCCCTTGATCAGGGGTCTGGAACTCAAATAGTTCCTACAATCTGCTAGGCCAAAGTGTGGCAATTTGTGGTGAACCATGCAAACGGTAGCTAAAGTATTCTCGAAGGCTTTCATGGCCAGGCGCTAGGCCAAAGTATGGCAATTTGTGGTGAACCAGACAAACGGTATCCAAAGTATTCTCAATGGCTTTCGTGGCCGGGATCTGATGGTTGTTGTGGGTTTTTCGGGCTCCTTGGCCGTGTTCTGAAAGTTGTTCTTCTTAACGTTTTGCCAGTCTCTGTGGCCATGGGCACCTTCAGAGGACAGGAAAGACAGAATTCCTACTCCAGTACTCTGAAGAGGCCCATGGCCACAGAGACTGGTGAAACGTTAGGAAGAACAACCTTCAGAACATGGTCAAAGATCCCGAAAAACTACAACAACCTTGGTATCCAAGGTCTTCTGGGTAAGTAAGTATGCAAGAACCAACGCTTGGCGGTGTTTCCCCCATGGTTTAAAACATGATGGCCTCAGTGGAAGGCAAGAATGAAGAGGAAAACATTGTTCCTGGTGGCCGTGGAAAGTGGGCAGGAGGGGGGGACAACAGACAGTGGTTCTGCCATACCCCTACCCCGGTGGCATCTGCTCTTTGTGCTTCATGAGTCTACAGCAGGGGTTGCTAACCTTGGGTAACCTAGATTTTCTTGGACCACAACTCCCAGAAGCCTTCACCACGAGCTGTGCGCGGTTGACCTCAGGGGGGGCCAGGGTCCGCCACAGTGTGATCACACCCATTTTGAGCTGGAGATTCTCTAAGAATTGTCCGGCAGCAGCCGCTGAGGTGGAGAGCGGGCAGGAAGGTGGGAAGTCTGTGGCCTCCCTGTGTGGTCATCAGACGACATCACTACTGTCCATTTTCAAAATTCCCAGCGCAGAATTTTAAGGTCGTGCCGCTTGGCCTCTGGAGGAGACAAACCATCTCCGGACAGCTTGGCCTTTCCAGTCTGGATGTTACCAAATAAGCAAAAAGCATCTTGCGTTTATTTTCCTTTGCATTCAAGGGATCTTACATGGATCACGATTTTCTCTTCTCAGCTCCAAGGAATCTTATGCAACAACTCGTCTTTCACTCTCCTCCTCTCTGGGAGCATTTTCGTCCCGCAGATCGTCTTCCCGGACACCCGTGGGCCCCTCGGTTCTGTCAGCTGATGAAACAGAGGATGATCAAGGAGGCAGGAAAGGTGGGTATTGGCTCAAAAGCTTTGAGCCTCAATGAGAGAAATAACACAGAGAAAGACATTGGGGTCTCAGACCCCTTTCGCCTCCTCACTCCTGAACCTGGATGAAACCAGCACCAAAGGCAGCGGCATTCTGGACTTGTTGGCCACAGCCTTTCAGGCTCCCTCGATGGAGTTTTGGACAAGAGATCATTGACCGAGAGAAGGGACTGTGACCCTCTTGATTCCCTGCTCCGTATGGGTCAGGAGTCCAAGGGGCATGGCCAGGCCCGCAAAAGATTTGACACCCAAGCCCATCGGGCCCCCATCTGCAGATGATTGGCACCTGCTGGCTGCAGGACATTGCTTTGGGGGGCTGGGGGCAGGGGCCCCACGGAGGCCTAATAGCCCTACAGGAATGAAGCGTGTGGCGCTCCGTGACCGTGTTGTGCTAGGAATTGAGTATCTCCTTGAATTCAGGTCATCCTCTGGTTGGCTGGTATGTTCAACTGCTCGGTCATCTGCAGGGTGAATGCATCTCGTAAAGGGAAGACTCCTTCTATGGATCCCTGCTTTCATGTTACCTCTCCCTCCCTCTGCCTCTTTTTCTTCTGCTGGATCAAATTATCAAATGAACAGTCGTCCTAAACGGTGCCAGCTGGAGCAGCTCCGCTGAACCTCGGATCGTCCGGCTTAACCCGCTCTGTTTTAGGCACTTCTAAGGAGTCATCAGTCTTAATTAGAACTGGATGGAGAGGGAGAGAGAGGGGAGAAATAGCAGGGCTTCTGTACGCCTGGAGGGCAGGATTCTGGCTGACCTGAGCCCAGGGGTGGAGGAAAGAGTGCCGGGAGCATAGAGATGTCCTTTCCTTTTGCCACCCTGCCGGGGAAAGAAAGAAGACTTCTGTCTGAGTGCACCGAGAAGCCGGCTCCAGAAGAGATTTTAGACACACTGTTTAGAGGGGCTTGACCTGACCAGTTTAAAGGACGTGGCAGGGCAGCTCTTAAGGGGTTTTCAAGCCCACGTGAAGGCCTCACTTTGCTCTCTTCCACTTCACCGTTTCCTGGAGCTTTCCTTTGAGCCAGGCTCGAGGGTCCAGATGCTGCGGAGCATCCCGTTTCTTTGATAAGGCTAGAATATATGTATGTAGTTAAGAAAGTGTGTGTTTCTTAGGTCACCCTCCCCCCCCAGTCCATTCCTCTAAACCTGGGACCAGAGGCATCGGAGGTCCCAGCTGTAAAGTGGGGCCCCAAGGTCTCCAGAGGTCACTAAAAGCATCCTTCTAATTTTTGTGTTGCAGAGCCAGACCGCCCTCCCGAGACCAAGGAGAAGAAGACTCCGAAGCACAAACCAGCTTCCCCGCACGTACCCCAAGTCGTCGTCCGCCCGGGCTCCGACACCAAGCCCGTCCTCCCGCCCATCCCGTCAGGCCGGAAGAGACCCAAACCCCAGCCCTCTGAAAGCTTCCTTCCAGCCATGATACCGAACCCTTGGCCTTAGCCCTCCAATCTCTCAATCTCTCTCTCTCTGTCTCTGTTTCCTCTTTTCAATGAGAAATGGGTGGAGGCAAGTGCCTGTAAATAGCTTAGACTGCTAACCTTCCCTGCCGTGTAGGCCACCAGGAAGGGCTCTTGAGGCAAAGAGGCCGTCCCAATTAAGGTGTTGGCTTCTTTGGGGGGGGTAGGCGGGCACCTCTTTTCTAACATGGCGTTCCTCTCGGGACCCTTGCCAGTGAATGGGGGTCCAGTTTTTGTAACTTAACTTGTTACTTAAATATATTCTCAGTTTCCTGACAGTTTGCAAAGCCCCTTTGGAAACAGGAAGAATTTTTCTTCAGGCGTCACTTTTATAGCCCCCCCCCCAATACCATCTGTACCACAAAGTGGAGGGCTAATATTCAAGCGACGGCAAGGTTACTTAGGGCTTGATTCCCCCTCCTCCCCCGTAAGTGACAAAGTAGCCTATTTTTGCACTCTAAAATAAATTAAGTGTGCCATGTGACTACTGCAGCAATTGAATTAAACATTCCTTAAATGTGTACGTTCATGTCTTGTGCTGTCATTTCCAAGCTTACAGAAGTTCTATGAATTAATGACTTCCAAAACTGCCCGGCTCAGCTCTTGTAAACTTCAAGACCATGGCTTCCTCTAGTAAGTCAATCCATTACTTGCTCGGTCTTCCTCTTTTCCTTCTGCCTTCAGCTTTCCCTAGCATGCCTTAGTGAGTCTTGTCTTCTCCTGATGTGCCTAAAATGCATGGCCTGTTTAAAGATATGATAGCGCTTTTCAAAGACTTGAAAGGATATTCCTACAGAAAAAGGGCAGGATCTGTTCTCAATCATGCCAGAGTGCAAGACCCAGATTGTTGCCAACACGGGAGGCCTTCAAGAGAATTTTAGACCATCATTGGTCAGATCTGCTTTGATTTGGATTCCTGCCTTGAGCAAGGGGTTGGACTGGATGGCCTCACAGGCCCCTTCTGAGGCTCTGGTTTTGTGTTTCTGTGATTCTATGATTCTGTGATGAGTCACTTTTGCTTCTAGGGAGAGTTCAGCCTTGATCTACCACCCCACCTCCTATTTCTATTACTGATGGCCCATAGTACCTCCAAAAGAAGTTTCAACACCACATTTCAATTGAAAATATCTTTTTCTGCCAGCTTTCTTCACTGTCCGGCTTTGACCAGTATATTAGAGTATCAGTGATCCTGGCCTTGTTCTCCAGTGACACATCTTTATGCTTAAGGATCTTTTCTAATTCCTTCATAGGTGTCCTTCCAAATCTGTCTTCTCTTGGGTGGGTGACTGAACTGAAGAGCAGAAAACGGTTCAGAACGCCTGGATAGTTCAGGAGTTCTGTAGGTATCTGCTGTGGAGCCAGAGGTGTTTAGAGTTTGATTCCCACCACTCCCACTCCATACCTCCTTGACCCAGATTGGACTTGATCCATCGGGTCCCTTGCAGCTTTGCAGTTGGATGATGATGATATACCTCCTCAGACTGGACTTGATCCATCGGGTCCCTTCCAGCTTTGCAGTTGGATGATGATGATATACGTGTTGGGAAATGGTTGGGGTAGGTTGGCTGCCCTCCCCAGCCCATGGCTATAGCTCTGGGACCAGCGGCAGCAGGCGTTCCAGCTGAAACGTGGGGCTTTCCTGACTCAACGGAGGCGGCGGCGTTATCACTCAGTAAGTCTTCTGGACTTGATCCATCGGGTCCCTTCCAGCTTTGCAGTTGGATGATGATGATATACGTGTTGGGAAATGGTTGGGGTAGGTTGGCTGCCCTCCCCAGCCCATGGCTATAGCTCTGGGACCAGCGGCAGCAGGCGTTCCAGCTGAAACGTGGGGCTTTCCTGACTCAACGGAGGCGGCGGCGTTATCACTCAGTAAGTCTTGAAAAAGGACCCATTGAATCATGCTCAGAAAAGTTGGAGGCAGAAGGGAAAGAGGAAGACCTACCAAGAAATGGATTGATTCAGGAAAGGAACCACATTGTTTAAAGGGCGTTCACAGGAAAGAACAGCAGAGAAGGCCACCTTCTGCTGACCATTTCATGTTTTCTGTTTATTGTAACTATTAGTTCTTCTTCGTGGTCTCTTTGAATGCACACGGATGGGTTTAATTTGCACTTGCGCAGAGGTCTCCGGAATATTCTAGAACTGAGGTAATCACAATGGGCGGACCACGTGTACTTGGGGGGGCGGTCCTAGCAAACACATGTTTGACATGATGGGTGGGCCACGTGTACTGGGGGGCGGTCCTAGCGAACGCATGTTTGAGTTCTAGAATATTCCAGAGACGTCTGTGCAAGTGCAAATTAAACCCATTAATGTAAATTCACAGATGACCACGAGTTACAGGTAAGGAACCTCTCTCTCTCAGTGTTGACAAAGAGTTACAAGTAAGGAACCTCTCTCTCTCAGTGTTGACAAAGCAGTACTTTTTATTTCCAGCAATCTGTGGAAAATAACCGCCACCTCAAATATTTGAGAACGTTTTAAAATCTTCCAGCTGTAAGCAAAAGGCTTGGGAAGCGGCGGGGTGGGGGTGGAAACTGCCTTCTCTTACTAATTCAGTTCATTTTTTGCTGGTACACAGCTGTGTTTCTTCCCAAAAGGTTGTGGGGAGAGAAAATTCCCTCCTCCTCGATAAACTATTTGCAACAGACCAAATTAATTTTTAAAATATATTTTAAGCAAAATGCACACCATCAGCTGAAGAACCACAGATCCGACAGATTAGTTTTGCTCCTGCAAACATTTCTGGTGAAGCCCCCATCTGGAGAGAAATGCAGCAGGAACATTTTAGTATTTACACATGAGGAAGCTTTTTAGTGGGTTCCCCCCCCCAGTCCTGCCCCTTGAGAGGAAAAAAAAAATCCTTCTGTAGTGATGATGATGCTAAGCTACTTCCATAAAGTATCATCGGAGCCACAATCCCACCCATGCCTCCCTCTGAGAACGTACTCAGAGGTCGGTAAGACTTAACATCTGTGTAGATGTGAATTGGTTTGTGCCAAAAGCCCAGGATCTGTCAGGTTTCAGTGGCTGATCTGGGTGCCCCTTAGGCCAGCATTAATCAACCTGACCCCCTCCAAGGTAGGTCTGACCCTCCTCAAAAAGTAGCAGCCCTAGAGCTGGACCAAAGAGTTCCAGCTGAGACATGGATCGGGGCCATGCTGGAGAACAACTGCCTGTAAATCCTGCAATCACCAGGAAATCAATCACGCCCGGATGGCTCCGTAAGCAGTCCAAACTGCAACCTATTCCCCCCATATGATTGTCCCCTAAGCCTGTTTCAGCAACAAGAGAAATCCGGGACATGTCAGACGAACCAGTTTATTCTGGTGTGGCTTGCTGCCCATTTTGCCAAACCCAGACACCCTTCCTCTTGGCACCGTTGGCTTTTCTTCTTGGACAGGACAGTAAAGAGACAATGAAATGTACGCAGCCACTGGTAGGAGGCAAAACATACCAGGGATGATTCTTCCATGAAAGACCTTTCCTTTCAACCTGCCTGCACGTACCAGGTTCTTCCACGCAACAATGGCTGCTTTATATCTGCCCTAATACATGATGAAAGGCCTCCTTGTTCACACTGGGTGAACCAGTTAAAGTATATGCCAGCTGCTTATTATTTTGTTTGTTTGTTTGATTGATTGTTATTTTGATGTCTTTATGTTATTGCACTTTTTCGGATCGTGTTTACCCTGATCTCTAATCTCTTTTTTGAATTTTGCTACTTTTCCTGCATTTTTTTCTATTTTTTTAAAAATTCCTAGTACAGTATTATGTTATTCTTATGTTGCTCAGTTAGCTGCCCAGAGTAGTTGCTCTGTTACTAGTAGGGCAAGACCGAAATAAATGCTTGGTTGGGTGGATGGATGGAGGAATAAAAAAATTCCTAGTATTATGTTGTTCTTATGCTGCTCGGTTAGCTGCCCAGAGTAGTTGCTCTGCTACTGGTGGGGCAAGACCAAAATAAATGCTTGGACAGACGGACGGAAGAGGGAGGGAGGGAGGGAAGGAAGGAAGGAAGGAAGGAAGGAAGGAAGGAAGGGTAAATCAGGTTCATTCTCCCCATGTACCAAATATCTTGGGGGGATGAAATCTGTGAGGCACCTCCAAAGAACTGATTAAACAAACTAAAAATAAAAGTAATTATCTGTTGTTGTTTTTTCCCTGATTATGTTGATTGCAGCACAATCGCCACCTGTATAAACAAAGAGCAAGGAAAAAGCATCTGATCCCAAGGCCAGGGATTTAAAGCCCAAGAGGATTTAAAGTCTCTAGCAACTGAGACGCAGGCATCCGTCTCCTGAGGCTGAGAAGAGATGGAGAGATGCACCAGCTCAGAGCCCCTTTGTAGGGCAGACGGGACTTTTCCGCTGCCCTCTCAAATTAACAGCGTCATTGCAGAGGGGGAATGTCCCTTCCCTCCCCCACACTACCATTCGAACAATTCCCACATTGTCAGCTGGGGAATTCCCTTAAAAAACATTTCCCACGAGGATGATGCGCAGACATGCGGGGATGTATAAGCGGAAGCACCCTCTAACAGATCTTTGCCGTTAATGAAAAATAAAACAGGGACACGTCCTGGTTTGCCGCTCGGAACGTGGAACAGAGAAGTCCGACTGCAAAGGGAGATTATTTCTAATGCCGAGTCTCTTGTTCTGCAAGATGGCAAACACGAGATGCAATAAACTCTCAAGTACTGAAGGCGGCTCTTTCTCTTCCACTGAACAACAGGCATTAAATTTTATCACCTGATGATGATTGTCAAATATTTGCTCCCAAGCCCCAAAGAGGGAAATAAAAATGGGAAGTGGAGTCTGGAGGATTCTGAGGATTTAACTGGAATTTCATGTCCTGAAACAAAGGGATCCTAGCAAAGATGACACAACTCTCCAAATGCTACTGAGGACTGTGGTTCTTCTTGTAGTTCCCATTATATGCCGACTTGAACGAGTGATCTTGAAAATGTTCAGTTCTCAACAACTCTGCCCTGCATGGCTCTTGCAGACTCAAGCCTGTGGCTTCCTTTATGCAGTCCGTCCATCTTGTATTTGGCCTTCCTCTTTTCTTGCAACCTTCATTTTCTGATCACGATTGTCTCTTCCTGCCTTTTCGTGAGGTGCCTGGAGCAGGACACCCTCAGCTTCAATATTTTTGCCTTCAAAGATCATTCAGGCTCAGTTTGCTCTAGGACCCACAGTAACACTCTCTATATGGTTTCTATCAGTCTCCTTTGAGACTGATTACAGAAGCTTCAGATGGTCCAGAACATGGCAGCCAGGCTATTAAAACGGGTGAAAAGATGTCACCCTATTTCCCCCACCTTGGTCGCCTCGGGTGAAAAGATGTCACCCTATTCCCCCCACCTTGGTCGCCTTACACTGGCTACCTATTTCGTTCAGCATCGATTTCAAGGTGCTAACCTTTACATACAAAGCCCTTAACGGCTTAGGACCTCGATACCTGGCAGAGCGCCTTCTTCCACCCAGTTCTACCTGTATCACCTGCTCCAGTCAGGCCGGGCACCTGAGGGGCCAAACGCCAAGAGAGGCCCTGTGGGGAAAAAACTAGAAATCGGGCCTTCTCGATAGTGGCCCCTTCGCTGAAGGCCTTCAAGGCTAGCTTGAAGACATGGCTATCCAGGGAGGCGGCTGGCCCCTTTGCTGAAGGCCTTCAAGACTAGCTTGAAGACATGGCTATCCAGGGAGGCCTTCCCTCCATTACCTAGCCTATCTCCCCTTTTATTTTATTTTTTCTCTCTTCTTCGTTTTATTTCCCCATCTTGGACGCTGTGATCAACTTGGATTTTATCTTAGTTTATTTTTATGTTATATGTAAACCACCCATTGCAGACACATTCCAGATAGGCGGTATATAATGCTAAAAACGAAAATAAAAATCCCTCTTTCTGTCAGTCCAGGTGACCCACAAAGTTCTCCTCCCAGATAGGCGGTATATAATTCTAAAAAAGAAAATAAAAATCCCTCTTTCTGGCAGTCCAGGTGACCCACAAAGTTCTCCTCCAGCACCACATTTCAAACGAATCCCTTTTTCCCCTCTCCGCTGTCCAGCTTTTGCACCCATACAAGGTGATCGGAAATAAAAGAGCTTTTATTTGCAGATACTGAGGATTGGAAAGGGAAGAAAAAAACAGCACATCCACCCCTCCTCACCAAGTTATGTGCAGTCCAATTCTATAGCCATGCAGGTGGGCTAGAGATCAAGGACTTGAATATCTAAATATTTAACTGGTTTGTGGACAAGACCGCAGTGTGGGTACAAAGTACCTCCCTTGGATGAAGAGGTGGGCACGAACTGCTGGTTTGGCGGTTCGTGCTGGTTCGTTCAGCAGTCAAACAGGTGTCTGGTGCTTCAAAGCCCCGCCTCCTTTGGCAGGACAAGGCTGCAGTGTGGGGAACACAGTACCTCCCTTGGGGTGGGCACGAACTGCTGGTTTGGCGGTTCATGGTGGTTCGTTCAGCAGTCAAACAGGTGTTTGGTGCTTCAAAGCCCCGCCTCCTTTGGCAGGCACCCACTCAGAAGCAGTGTGTCCAGAGGAGGCGGGGCAAGGAAGCCAGGCTGCTGCCTCTGAGTGGGGGCCCCGCCAGAGGAGGCGGGGTGTTGAAGTGCCAAAGCACCAGTTCAATGAACCGGCATGAACTGTCAAACTGGTGGTTTGTGGCCCCTCCTCTATGACTCCCTTTTCTCAAGGCTAGGGTTCGAGTTACAAAATACTCGGCCACGTTCCTCTTGCAAACGATATCCTGGGGGGAACGAAGAGACAGAGAAGAGAGCTAAGAAAAACCCGACACAACATTTCATTGACCGAAAGCGAAATTATTTATTGAACCGTACAAAAGCTCTCCGTTAACAGTTGGCTCTCCGTATGTCCCTCTTCTGGCCCCGGTTTGTTCAAGTCAATGATCATTTCAAGTCTCTTAGTGATGATGTTTCTGTTTCAAAATGTTGGCTATATCTATACATTTAAAACAATGAAAACCATTTTTTAAAAAAACCACCTTACCTGGCAACCGTGGGAACTACATCCAGGTGGCCGGGGTTGTCTTAAGAACCCAAATTCATAAGAGAGTTTGGAGGTTGATCAGGGAGGGGGAACCCCCTAAACCCCCACGAGCTCAGTGATGATAGACATGCACCCATCATCCTTCTCACCCTGTCCTGATTCTCCTCATCTATGGAGCTATCTGATCCTTCCTCTGTGTTCACTGCTCTTGGTGACCACAGGCTTTCTCCACCCTGGCAGTCTCGTCTCATTATGCCATGAATCTGCCCCTATAGGCAAGACCCCAAAGAACCACACCAGCCCTTGTGGCATATGGACAGGGAGGAACCAGTCCCCTCACCATGGGTCTGCCAACAGAAAGGAACCCACCACAGCCACAGAGTACATTCATTTGCAAATAAACTGTGTGCCGCAGGCACACTGATTCCAGATAATCCCCAGATTGCATGAGTTGTCCCATAATGCACCAGAACTTCAAGCCAATGGATAGTCAGACGACAGTAGAACCCGCCTACCTACAGTGGTGCCCCGCCAGATGATGTTAATTCGTTCAGCGAAGATCGCTATCTTATGAAAACATCTTGTGAAATGTGGTTCCCCATTGGAATGCATTGAAATCCGTTTAATGCGTTCCAATGGGGACAAATCGTCGTCGTTTTGCGAAAATCGCCCAAAGAGAAACCGTTTTGCGAAGCGCCGATCAAAATCGCTGTCTTGCGAAAACTGGTCCCGAAAACACCCATTTTGCGAGTCGCGGACCTAGCTATCAAAATCGTCGTCTTGTGAAAATTGGTCCCGAAAAAAAAACAACCGTCTTGCGAAGCACGGACAGAAGCATCATATAGTGAAAATCGCCCATAGGAAACACTGCGCTATAGCGATGGCAAAATAGCACAGTGTTTCCTATGGGCGATACAGCACTATAGTGATCGCAAAAACTCATCGTCATGCGGATGAGTTTTTGCGATTCATCATTTTGCAAGGTAATTGTCTAGCAGGGCACCACTGTACTTTTAAGCCTCCCTGTGGATACTGAAAAATGCAATTATGATAAATGCTAATATAATAGGAAAGGTCATAAACAGCATATGGTTTCTGTCTCCCTCTAGTGGACAGTTCTGGTAACACCCTTGTTAGAAATCTATATTTCCAGGAAATTTTTATTTAATATTTTTAACAGATTCAGACCATGAATAACTGAATCAGCGGATCTTGAACCTGTGGATGGGGGGGGGGTTCCTACTGTACTACAGTGCAGACGAGGGATTTGACCAGTGTACGTGAGAAGAAAAAAACACAGTCCACGAGCCAACATTTTGCCTGTAGGAAATGTGAGGATGGAGAACGGTTACTCCCTTATTTACAGCTTGCTTGTAAACACAACAGTTAGGTATAAACAACACCTGAACGGAGTGAAAAATGTCCCCTTAAAAGGGGATTACATATTTTAAAAAAACAAAAACAAAACATTTTTGCAGAGATACTCAGGAAAAACTAGTTCAAAATACAGAATACCTGGCATATAACCGGAGCTAGAAAACAACACATTGGAGGCTATTCGCTGGTTTACTTTCACATGGACTGGGCATTCAAGCAACGGATGGAGCTAACATTTCAAAAATATCTGTTGGGAAGGTTTAACGTAAAAGCAATGCCCACCATTTAACGAAGTAATTCCAAGCCCGGGGGGCAGGGGAGGGATGCATTTTTGAGACGGCAAATTCCCGTGTCCTCGAGGCTCAGAGATTAAAGGGCGGTGTGATCTGAGAGATTAAATATTGGGAGTAACTGCATCAACTGTTAACACTCGAGAGAACACCGATCTACTCAGGGATGTCCATGAGGCCGATCCAGGACGTTGGCGACCCTACCCGCCTTGGCCAGTCCCCCTAAGTCCCTTCTGCCTCCTGAGGGCTGGCTACTCCTTCGGAGAGACCTACCTTTGAAGACCAAGCTTCTCTGGTAGGCTTGGTCAAAACCTTCTTCAGAAGGCCTGGGGACCAACGCGCTACCACGTGACACCCACGTGCACCTGGACGGTCTCCCTCTTGACCGGGTTTAAGGGGGAACCTTCACTCCACACACTCTTGACATCCATGATCATGTATATTTCTAAGCATTAGCAACAATGTGTTAAAACTACAAAAAAACAAAAACACAACAACCTCATGAACATTCCAATCTGACGCTGGGTCAACCAGAGGAATATCATCCTGACAAGCTTACGACACTTTGAAACAACGGCTCCCAACCTGGGGTCCCCTAAATGTTCTTGGATGGCAACTCCCAAAAACCTTCGCCTCCTCGCTGGGCTGGCCAGGATTTCTGGGAGTTGTAGTCCGAGAACGTCAGGTTGGGAAGCATTGTCTTAAAAGCACCAGAAAATACCTCCTAAGAGGCAAGATTCGCCCTTACTGACAAGAACCTAACAATATTTAACCCATGACTTTACTTGACAAAGTCCTATAAATGCCAAGAGCTTTTGGGTAACAGATAAAACTCTGGCAGGCGAGACATGTCCTTCACCGCCACACTGAGCTTTTCACTCCTAAGAGCCTTACACACACACACACACCACAGAAACATATGTGGCACACATCATTCTGTGGTACTTCCAGCGCCAGCTCTCCAAATATTGCAATTTGGCCTTACTTTACATTCTTTTGTTTTTTTTTCCAAGATGGCAGCCGTGTCACAAAATGGAGGAAGACGTTCACCCTGGAGGCGAACCACACTGCCTAAACCCCGACAGGGCCATAAATCACCCCCATCTTGAATCCCGTTGGGGTGGAGAACTTGTGATCCTCCAAATGGTCTCTCCCATCATCTCCTGCACTGGCCAGGCTACTTGGGGGGGGGTTGTTGGAAATGGGGAGCTCCCTCAGATCTGGAGGGTCACAAAGGCGCCATCCTTCAGCAAAACCACAGACGGGTTCGCCTTGTGGAAATCCTATTTGTTACCCAGCGGTCTATTTTTAATTTTTTTCCAGTTCCCCATCTCTGGGGGATTTATGTATCTGCTTGGCATAGCCAAGATCAGTCTCTCTCTCTTTTTGTATTACAAAAATCAAACCCGCACTTCCACGAGAAGGGAATCTGCTGCTACTCTGCACCATTGGGAGAAAAAAAAACATGATCGGAAAAGGTCCCCAGTTCCGTGGAGGAGCCCTGAGCTTGGCCACGGATCCATGCCCTCACTCCTGCTTCTTTTCCTCCTCCTCTCTCTTTCGCTTCCGGTCCAGCAGAGGCCCCAGGCTGTTCCACACCTCCGTGTACATCAGAGTCCCCACGAAGACGAATAAGGTGCCGATCCAGTGCCAGACGGTGAAGGGGTTCCGGAAATACAGGATGGAGAAGATGAGGCTGATGAACTTACGCAGGGTCACCACCAGCGTGACCGTGAGGGAGGTGCACTCTGTGGTCAAGATGAACACCCCCCGGATGCACACGTATCTGAGGAAGGCGGCCGAGTTAAGGGGAAAGGACAAGGACAAGAGGTGTAGCAACAGGGATGTGGGCGAAGGCTGCAAAGTGATGGGTCAACCGTAGGGATTACAAACAGGGGAAGCCGGCATAGCTCAGTGGGTCAGAGTAACCTGGGGGAGGAACCCTCTCAAGGGCTGGACGTCTGAGGTCCAACGAGGCAACCTGGAAGAGGGATCAGCCAAGATAAACCACAGTGGCTCCCAACTATGGGTCCCCAGATGTTCTTGGACTTCCATCTCCCCAAAATCCTGGCCAACAGCTCATGGTGAAGGCTTCTGGGAGTTACATAGCTCGTGGTCAAGGCTTCTGGGAGTTGCAGTCCAGGAACATCTGGGTGGATCCCGGTTGGGAACCACTGATCTAGAGAGAGAGAGAGTGGCTGTGGCTGATGGGCAACACGCCCTGCCCGATGGTTGGGTGTCTTGCAAAGTGGTCCCAGAGCACCCCCAGAAGAAGGGAACCGGGAAACCACTTGAGTGCTTTATACCTAGGAAATCTTAGGGAGGGTAGAGGTGGGTAGGAAGAACACGGCTTCGTATGAAAACGAACGAGACCGGGCATGTTCAGATTGGCAGGTGTAACACAACTCCAGTATCTCTGTAAAAGATCGGAGTTTGTTTCTAGATTATTGGGGGGGTCGGGGGAGATCCCAGCACGACAGGCTTAAGGTACGAATACTAACCAAGTCATAACCTTCCCAGCTGAATTTTCCCAGGTGGTACGAATGAGGACGAAGTTCTGGATCTGGAAAACAACACATTTCCTGCTTGCTGTTCCAGTTGGGTTTGTTTGTACGACTGGCTATTGAGCTGAGTAATTAGTAGTAGTAGTAGTAGTAGTAGGGAGATCCCAGCACGACAGGCTTAAGGTACGAATACTAACCAAGTCATAACCTTCCCAGCTGAATTTTCCCAGGTGGTACGAATGAGGACGAAGTTCTGGATCTGGAAAACAACACATTTCCTGCTTGCTGTTCCAGTTGGGTTTGTTTGTACGACTGGCTATTGAGCTGAGTAATTAGTAGTAGTAGTAGTAGTAGTAGTAGTAGTAGTATAGTAGTAGTTTTATTTATATGCCACATTTCTCCCAACAAGGGACCCTCTATTTTACTTTAAACAAAAGTATTATAAATACGTACGTAGTTCCCATTCCTTTCTTCTGGGGGAAACCTAGGGCTGTCTAAGGTCATGCTGGCTGGCTCCCCCCCCAGGAGGCACAGAGGGGAATCGAACTCCCAACCTCTGGCTCCGTGGCCAGAGACCTAACCCACTGAGCTATGCAGCCAGCTTCTGGGGACACACTTAAAACAAATTAAAAAGCCATACTTTTTAAGACAATGTAACTTTTTTCATGATTTCCAGGCGAGGCAGGAAGATTCAGCCAGCTCAAGCAAACATCTATCATTCACTGCCTGCCCTCGGCCGGACAGAGGTTCAGGAAGGATACTGAGTGATGATGTTCATGAGGAGGTAGAACCACATGACGGGCATGCTGAGTCCAAGGACTGGGATCTGGAACGGGTCTGCAAAGTACAAGAGGCAGAGAGAAGGGAGGGACTCTTTGATTGCCCTATCTCTCTGCAAACTGTGGGTGAGCCCAGAGTCCAGGCGCCTTCCTCGCTTCCTGTTCAACCCACCCTGCCCTGAAAAGGTCCCCTGATTGGGAGAAAGGTGGCCTCTAAAGTAAACAAATACAGTCATGCCCCGCTGGACGATTACCCCGTTTAACAATGAATCCGCGTAATGGTGACATTTTTGCGATCGCAAAACGATGGTTTAAATGGGTTTTTTTGCCGTGCGATGATTGGTTCCCTGCTTCAGGAACCGATTTTCGCTTTACGACGATCAGCAAACAGCTGATCGTCGGGTTTCAAAATGGCCACTGGCTGAAGAAAATGCCCCCCCCCCGCTGTTTTTAGGACTGATTTTTCGCACTACAGGCACAGAAAATGGCCGCTCCTATGGAGGATCTTCGCTGAAAGAGCAGGTATTCAGCCCACTGGAACGCACTGAAAGGTTTTCAATGCATTTCAATGGGTTTTTTAAATTTTGTTTGACATTTTCACTTTACAGCGATTTTGCTGGAACGAATTAACGTCGTCAAGCGAGGCACCACTGTACAAAAGAATAAAAATGCTCACTAGTTGCACCCAACTCTAAGTTCCAAGAAGGAAAGAAGGGAACTCTCAACCTAGTGGTATAACTCTAAGGAATCTATACCCTAATTTTCTTCCAGTTAGCTCAAGGTGGGTCTTCTCTCTCCTCACTGTGGTTTATCAAAGCAACGACCGTGTGGGGTAGGACACACCAGGAGTGGCCCAAAGACACCCAGGGAGGGTCTCCTACCGCTCGGCTTAGGCTAATGTTTCCCAACCAAAGATCCCCCAGATATATTCGGCCCCAACTCCCAAAATGCCTCACTCTGTACAAGTTGGGAAGTGCAGGTTCAGTGGGACCCCCACATCTGAAAACCGTGGACAGCAGTGAACACTTTACATAGCATGTTAAAAGAAATCCAGAAAAAAAACAACCAACCCAACCATTATAAATACGTAAGCGGTTCATCAACCAACCAATCCAGAAAAAAAACCAACCAACACAACCCAACCATTAGAAATACGTAAGCGGTTCATCAACCAACCAACCAACCAACCTACCCTACCCAACCCAAACAGATGCAACAACTTACCAGACTGGTTGAAGAGCAATGCGTGCCTGTAAATGTCCGGAGCCAAGAGCAGGAAACCCGGAAGGGGGAGTGCGTGCTGTCAGAAAAACCGGAGGCAAAGACTTTAGAAGGGGATGCCCTGTGGAGAATCTACACAGGTCTGAGGAACAGCCCGCGTTTCCGTGTTTGTCATGAACCCAACCACCTTGCGAAGGCTACTTCAGAATAGGGCCCAGACTCAGTGGCCTACTGGCCACAGAATTCTAGAAGTGCTCCGACTCCCAAGCAATGCAGGAAACCCCAAAGCTGGAGAATCCCACAAGGATGTTCACTCCACTTTGGGATTATTTATTTATTGTTGAGCCCAAAGCCCTTGAAGGGGGGGGGGAGGAAGGTCACTCCACGCCAGCCTGAAAAGGTTGCCGGACGGTGGCTTACGTTGTAGAAGAGGGCTTCCTTGGAGTGTTTCCCGAACTTCTGGTAGAGGGTCTCCTGGAAGATGCCCATCCGGGCCGACATGAGGAGAGCGAAGGTCAGCGCTCCGAGACCTGTGAGAGAAACGGCAGCGTGAGGGGGCTTTGCTCTCAGCCTCTGGTGTTCTGGGATGAGCCCTCAAAAGGGTGGCAAAGACAGCAGTCCACTTCCCCTGTGGGTAGCAAAAACAAACATTGGCCTCCGTATTGGTGGAGACCGTTGAGATGATGATGATGATGAGTCAGAAGCTCAAGAAGCTCTTCTTTGCCTCACTTCAACACTCACAACAAGCCCATGAGGTAGGGTCAGGGTAAGAGAGAAAGAGCAAATGGTTGGAACAACTCCCAGTCAATTGGGATTTCGATTCCTCCCAAATCCCAAATTAGTGGCAAAGACCAGTAGTCCACTTCCCCTGTGGCTAGCAAAAACAAACATTGGCCTCCGTACTGGTGGAGACCATTGAGATGATGACGATGATGAGTCAGAAGCTCAAGAAGCTCTTCTTTGCCTCACTTCAACACTCATAACAAGCCCATGAGGTAGGGTCAGGGTAAGAGAGAAAGAGCAAATGGTTGGAACAACTCCCAGTCAATTGGGATTTCGATTCCTCCCAAATCCCAAATTCAGTAATCTCATGGCTACCCAAAACAAGCTCTCACTTTTAAAACCGTAAGGCCCTGTGGCACCTTGTTCACTATCCTCCATGTGACATACAATTCCTGGAACAGAATTACACACAGGAGGAAGAAAGAACTACATATCTCCTATGCTGCAGCAGAAGCATAGAGTCATAGAGCTGTCCAACCCCCCATGATGCGGGAACATCCATCCAAGCACTCCCGACAGATGGGCATCCAGCCTCTGCTTAAAAACCTCCAAAGAAGGAGACTCCAACACCCATCGAGGCAGCCTCTTCCACTGCCGGTCAGCTCTGGCCATCAGTTCTTTCTAACGTTCAGATGGAATCTCTTTTCCTGTAGTCCTGTAGCAGGCTGTGCAGAGCACCCACCAGCCAGCACCAGTGACGTCACAAACCCACACGCAGCTCCTGAATGACTAGACAGCTTTTTAAATATATATATATATTCCCTAAACAAAGGAGCATGCAAAGATTCTAGTGAGTAAGTGTTGAAGCTGGACTTATTTAAAGGCAGAGAGCTTAAACAGACATTAAGGAAGAAGGGAACAGGTAACGGAGTCAGTTCTTTCTAACGTTCAGGTGGAATCTCTTTTCCTGTAGTCCTGTAACAGGCTGTGCACAGCACCCACCAGCCAGCACCAGTGACGTCACAAACCCACACGCAGCTCCTGAATGACTAGACAGCTTTTTAAATATATATATATATTCCCTAAACAAAGGAGCATGCAAAGATTCTAGTGAGTAAGTGTTGAAGCCGGACTTATTTAAAGGCAGAGAGCTTAAACAGACATTAAGGAAGAAGGGAACAGGTAACGGATGAGTCAGTTCATCTCGCTAACTCTTTGCGAAGGACGTAGAAAAGACAGGCTTGTCCCGTAAGAGAAAAGGTTTCACTTAACTTTGGGGAGACAAGAATCTGATGGTGCAGGATCAATCCCTGGTCCATTTAGCCCAGGTATTGTCAACTCTTGTTGGCAGAAAAGGGCCTCTCTAATTTCAGGCAGTATTCTTCTTACCCTACCTGCAGATTCCTCTGATCCCCCCAGGGTCTCCCGTCCAACTACTAACCAGGCCTGACTCTGCTTAGCTTCCAGGATCAGATACAATCAGTGCTTTCAAATGGCAAGGGGTGATATATTTGTTTCCATCCTGCTTTATGCAACATTTGAAATATAGCTGTAAAAGCAATTCTGATTAGAGTTTTCTTCACAGTTTGAGCGCCATTTCGGTGCAGGAGACAGTCGTAGACTTACGGACTGTCTGAGAATTTATTCACGCTTGCAAATAGCCCCACAAAAGTTATTAGTCCACAAGAAGCGTCACTACCCCTTGTCGACACATTCACAGGGATGTTGCTTGTGGCGTAACATAAAAATTAGGCCTTTTGTAGAATTTGTACAACTTGGCCACGGGAGGAGATCCTTGCTCCCCTCGGATGACCGGGCAAGGGTCAGAAGCGTATTTGCAGATCGCTTTTAAAAAGAAGAAGAAAGCCATTTTTAAAAACAAGTGGCAGAGAAAAAATATTGTAAGGAAGGGAAATACGAGGGTTGCAACGTCCCAAGTGAAAGTCAATCAGTGCTATCCACACAAGGTACGGCTGCAAAAGGATAGCAATGGCTTGAGTTTCTGCAAGGGGAACGGTTCATCAGGGAATGAGCGTAGTGGAGAAATTACTGACCCAGCAGCCACCAGAGGAAGGCAGAAATGCTCTCTTCTCCTCGTTCGCTGGTGCTTCGCATGGAGCTCTAAAAGAGGAAAGAACACGACAAGGAGAATGTCAGCTGCCATAAGCTTCACAAGTTGGAAAATCCTGTTTCAGCAAGACCACCATTTTATTTATATTTATTTATTTATTTCCTACCAATGTATCGGAGAAGGAAGGATGGAAAGAGAGACCAGAGTCAATACATCTCCTGCATTTTCAGCCAGCTGAAGGGGACTCTTTATTCTCCTCTGGAATCTGGAAATACCTTTCGCCCCATCGGCCAAGAGCCTTAATCATCCCCCCTCCACAAATATGGTGAATACTTTTAGAGGCCGACCGCCATGGAAGGTGCTTTTCCGAACAGCCTTCAGTCTGTTGAACTCCTCAAGGTGGCTGACTCCAAATCCCATAATCCCCATTCATCACTGCCTGAGCTGAGGAAGAAAGAAACTGAAGATCTGGGACATCTATTCTCAAAAACAGCTGAAACGTAAGGGGTATTTAAAAAAAAAAAGATTTACCACAAATTCTCCACCTTCTCCTTAAAAGCAGGCAATCTTTTTAATCACACACATCAAAGGAGTTGGAGAAACTTAAATGTTTAAACAAAGAGGTGGGAAACAGTTAATGGAGGGGTGTGTGTGTGTGTGAATCCTCTTGTGCTAGCTGATCTGGCCGGTGTAAAAAAAAATAATCAAGGGCCAGCAGAGGTGAAATAAAATTGGTTTGGGGGCCTGGTTTCTTCCCGCAGGCCATCATTTTCCCATCCCAGCCACTACGTATTGTTGGGGAGCTTTTAGAACCTTGCAGGCTGCCTTTAGAAGGTTGAACTGGGAGGGCCCTTTCTGGCCTGGGGTGACTGTCAATCTATTGAGCACTGGCCAATCGTTCCCTTCTGCCCCAGGATTCAAAGGAAGCCCCGCCCCTCTGCTGAGAGTTCTATTTTCCTTCTCTTTCGCCTGCTGACCAGTTAGGAGGTTCATTGTTTGCTGTTATCTGTTTCCAACTGTAAGGAATGAAACAGTTCTACTACAAATGTCACTCCAGCTTTATTGAAAATATTCTCTTCCATGGATCTCTGTAATTCTGCGGTGTATCAAAAGGAACATTAGCCAAACATTGAAAAACTCTGCAGTAGGCCTCCTTTCGGGTCTTCCCTCTCTGGGAACTGGATGCGAGTTCTGACTCTGGTTCATACACAGGGGAGAAAGGGGTCATGCAGTTACTGATATCTGGGAAAGAGAGAATGGAGCAGGACCGTTCTTACCACTTCTTTTGCAGACATAAAGGTGCATGTGAAGATTCCCAGGGAGACCAAGGCGATGGAGGTGTATTTGTACACTGTATACCTGTGTGACAAGAGGAGAGGGAGAGGTTCAGCCGGCCCAGAGCAGACCATATAACAGGGGTCCCCAACCCCTGGTCTGCGGCCCCGTACTGGTCTGTGGGCTTCCTTGAACTGGGCCGCGGACATGGATCTCCGCCCCCTCCCGCATGCACGCACGGTGGGCGTGTCGCGCTCTCGGACAAAAACACTAGGTTGGAGTAGCACAAAAGAGAGAAGGAGTAATGATCAGCAACTAGAAACCCTTAGCATTAACTGGAGCTGCCTTTGGCCCACTGTGTCCTTGGCGTCTTTTAAGCAGCGCTATTAAGCCGCAAAGAACTCCCCCGTCTGGAGAAAAGGGAGGCGATTTGTCTCCCCTTGCTGCCCGACCCGTAAAAAATGCCTTTCGTTCAGACACACTAAGGGCGACCCGTTCAGCTCTGCTATTTTAAAATGAGCTAAACGAGCCTTAGACTAACAGGAAGGTATAAACACATCTCTGTAGATATGGAGGCGGGGAAGGCACTGTCCAGCCACCATTCATGGAGGATCAGAGGAAGAAGGTGAGAACCTGGCTTTTTGATGTCCCCCTTCAATAAGAACTTGAAAAGGTTATTTCTTTGGACCACGACTCCCAGCATCCCCAAGCTAGCATAAGTCTGGAAACTGTAAATCAAATAACGATTATTTCTACCCTCTGCCTCTGCGATGCAAATCCTGTGTTTGTGGATCAGCCACCAGGGGGAGACAAAGCAGGGCAAGGGACCCTTGACTCGCCTCTCGACTCACCTATGGTGAAATGAAGCGAGACTCACCTTTTCTTCAGAATGATGATGCCCAGAGCCATGTTGGCAATCAGAGAGCCCTGAAAAGGAAGGTGGGCCCATCAGAGAGGAAGGGGAAAGAAGCAAAACAACAACAACAACAACAAAAACAAGGGCTTTTTAACAGTGTCCAAGAGCTAACAAATGCCAGAAATTACGTCCAACGGAAAGGGTGCAAATAATGAATTTGTATGTTAGAAGGACCTGGCGGTGCAATGCATCCATCAGAGGGAGGCACACTGCGACCCCTCTGGGTGGTCCCCATCAACAGTGGATTGGGCGCCCCCATTTTGGGTTCAAGATTTTATCCTCACTGAGAAAAAAAAGGCCCCAGATCTCCATTTGACTCTCCCCACAAGAATGAACGGCACAATTTATTTATTACTTTAGTTCCATTCATAGACTGCCTTTTCTCCAATAAGGGAAGCCAAGGTAGCCTGGTTCATAATGTTTATTTATTCATTTAATAATGATAATGTTTACTGCGGTCATATGACCCCTACAGAGATCAAAGTATTTATTTATTTATTTTTAACAATTACACCCTTAAAAAGGACCCAAATCGGCTTACATTATTAAAACACACTATTTAAAAGCTAAAATCACTACGTATATGGATATTTAAAAGAATCCAACAAACACCACAATAAAAACATTAAACAAAACCAATACAAAACACAAAGCAGCAAGGCACAACAATCCATTTAAAAACCTCTCTCAGGCAGCCAGTCACTCAGGGAAAGCCTGCCTGAAGACAAAATTATTTGCTTGCTTGTGGAAGGATGACAAAGATGGGGCCAGCCTGGCCCCCAGTGGGAGGGAGTTCCAGAGTCTGGGAGCAGCCACCGAGAAGGCCCCTCTCCTGTGTTTTCACCAAGCACACATGTGAGGCTGGCAGGATTGAGAGAAAACCCTTCCCTGATGATCTTCATGCCCAGGAAGGCTCATGCAGGGAGACACAGTCCTTGAGCCATTTAGAGCTTCATAGGTCCAAACCAGGAAAAAACAATTAAAACTATAATAATAACTAAATCTACCTTAAACCATTAAAAGCCATGACGAGCAATGAGATCCACAAGCGTCTAGTTCACAGGAACTCAAGACAATGAGAATCACATTCCCTTCTGTCAAGCACTATCTTGGTTTTTGCGCCTAGAGCGCGCACCGGAGCATGGCGGGATACTGACCCGAACAGGTCATCACACAGAGGGAGAGACGGTTTAAGGCAGGACTCACCGATCTAAATATCATATGCAACGGCATGGCTATGTTCAGGTTAAGGGCGTAGTTGTTGACCACACTGACTGTGAAGAACATGGCCACCATGATCAGGTAGTACCTGGAAAGAAAACCACACAATGTTGGCCGGCAAAGGCAGTGGGACGCATTTCATGAAAACTCTCAAACTGGAAATGTTCTGGGGATTATGTTTTTTCAGTGCCCTAAAGCAACTCAAATTTAGATTTTTAGTTCATTTATTTTACCCTTATTTAGTAAACAAAATGTTTTTTTGGGGGAGGAAAAAAGACCATGTCAATTCTATTGGCTTTATAATTCTTTTTTAGCAGTAGCCCAACATAGTAGGATGTTACAAATAAATTGGTTGGCTTTGCTCAGGCATGATATAATTCTAATTTTGGTTTTTGATTTGGCAGATATTGTAAAGATTTCAAGTCTCCAGTTGGGCTTGTACTGGGCTGCTAGCCGTCCTGTTCACACTAAATGTCACCAATGTATTACTATCGGAAAATAAAGCTCGGGAGGGTGGAGCCATTTATTGACAGGAAAACCAAACCAGGCACAGGAGAATATTTATATCTTAACTCAGGCTTGGACAATTTCTTTTGGGCGATAACTCTTAGAATCTCCAATTTAGCACAGCTAGTAGCCCTGTCAGTTTACAGGTTCTAGATATTACAATCCCAAAAAGTAACTTTTGCAAGTGCTAAGGAGAGGTGCACTCTGGGAATCGTAGTGCAAATGCTACATTTGCAAGCTCTGGTCTTCAAAAAAAGAAAGGCAAATTTATCCAGAAAGTGAGGAGTTCATTGATCCACTACTAGCCAACCCACGGCTCAGAGGAAAGCGCTGAGCCCTTTGCCAAGACCAACTTTGGAAAAGTTCATTTCAGTTTATTTCTAGAGATGTGAAGGCCTGGAAAAAAAAGTGGGTGAATTTTTGGTGTGGAGAGGGACTTCTGTGAAGGAAAATTGACTTTTTCCTGATTTTTGATGCATTTTTTTTCTCATTTCCAAACCCTCCCCCCTCAAATTATGGGGAAATGGATTATAGAACGTTTTATCCAAAATGCTGGGCATGTCTAAAACCAGGAAAAAAAGTTCCGTTTGTGGCTTCAACATTTCTGGAAATTCCTCATCTCCTTCTGATAAGATTTTACAAAAACATTTCTTCCTTTCTTTACATTTATCTATCTGAACATCCAAGGGGGTGGGTTCAAATCAACAGGTTTTTCCTACCCCCTACTCTCTGGCTGCCCGCTGCCATGATGGCCAGTAGGATGATGGCAAGGCTAGGATGAACAGAAGGGAGCAAAACTAACAGGGAAGGGATCTGGATCAAAGCAGGGGAGACCCATCCCTCCCACTCAGTTTAGTGGGTTCCCATTTTAGAAGTGCGTACTTGATCGGGAGAACTGGCCGTTTCCTTCCAAAGTTGGCCTCGAAGACGAATCCTTCTGTGGCTATGAAAAAGAACTGGGCAAACGTTACTAAATTCCCACATCCTGGAAATTCCCTGTGTTTGAGAGAAGGGAGGGGAAAAAACAGAGAAAGAATGTAATGAGAAATCACAATTGAGGATCAGAGAACCGTAGAATGATGGGGTCGGAAGGGGGCCTCGAAGGCCATCCAGTCCAACCCTCTGGCTCAAAGTACGGATCCACATCAAATCAGATCTGACAGAAGGTTGCGCAGTTTTCTCTTGGACGCCTCCCGCCTTGGAGCGCTCACCGCCTCCCGAAGTCATGGGCTCCGTGTCGTACTGCTCTAACCACTGAGAAGTTTTTTTTCCCTGAGATTCCGCCGAAATCTGGTTTCCCGTTGCTTGAGCCCATGGTTGCGAGTCCTGCACTGGGGGAGGATCGAGAACGGATCCTGCCCTTCCTCTAAACAGCAGCCTTTCAAGTATTGGAGAAGCGCTACTCTAGAATCATAGAAGTTGGAAGAGGACCTATAAAGCCATCGAGTCCAACCCTCTGCTCCAGGCAGGGATTCAAGTCAAAGGATACTTGCCAGGTATCTGTCTAGATTTCTCTCGAAGGACTCCAGGGCTGGTGCGCTCAACACCTCTCGAGGTCAATGGTTTCCGTTGTCGTACTGCTCTAACAGTTAGGAACTTTTTTCCTGACATCCACCCTAAATCGGGCTTCCTGTCGCTTGAAACCATCCTTACCTGTCCTGCATCCTGGGATGATCCAAGATCCTGTCCGTCCTCTGTAGGACTGCCTTTCAGATATTTGAAAAGTGCTACCCTACCTCTCAGGCATGCCCAACCCTGTTCATTTATTCAATCCTCTCTCTCTCTCTCTCTCTCTCACACACACGTGTGGGCCCTCTCACCTGTCCAGGTGCGCCTCTCCTCTTCCCACCGTCTAGTTGGCTCTTTCAAAGCTTGGAAATATTACCTTTTTTTGGTGGGGGGGGCTACAACTCCCAGTATCCCCCGCAGCCGGCTTGGGGATTGTGGGACTTGTAGTCCCCCCCTCAAAAAAGGGCGGGGGATTTTAATGTTCCTAACCCCTTCCTCCTCCTGCCTGCCTGCTCTCCCAATCCCCGAAGCAGATCCTGGTTCCCGGCTCCTTATT